AGAAGGTGAGGCGGAGGGGCGAGCTCCGCGGGAAGGGGAGGGCGGCCGGCCGGGAAACGCGCGGGAGCCTCCCGGCCCTCAGTCCCCGCAGCAGCGCGGTTCGGCTCCTCGAAGTAAACTGAGGCAGGGAGTGCTGCGGAGTGCTCGAACTCCCAGCTTCCCTCTCAGCCGCGCAGCAGCCTCTGCGAGACAGAATATTTCCCCTTAATGCTGTCCTTAAATGCTTTTTTTCCCCTCAGTACGTGGCGGCTCTTGAAGACATGCTCCGAGAGCTGAAGAAGCAGTCCAGGTGAGTCGCTCCGAAATCCTGGGGTGGGCAGGTGCCTTCTGTGGTTTTGTTAGTGTCTTACCTCTAATAAGACAGACAAAACCCTCAAACACCACAGTAATGTTTATACTTCCCTGTGGAAATACCTGTCAGTGAGGGAGAAACTGCCCACAAAGCAGCTACGACACAGTCCTGCGAGGAGCTGGGCAACCGTCATGTTCTCGGCCACATTTCCCTGCACGTCAGCCTTGGCCCTGTGTCTTGGAAAAGGGGATTACAGGGGGTAGCAAGCATGAGGCTACTTGTGCTACGTGTTTCTTTGAAGAACCATGTGTTAGGTTTTTTTATTCTGTTTTATCTGCACACAGAAAATACTGATGACTTCTGGTTTTCGTGTTACTGTTTTTCAATTCCAGTAGCAGGCCAGCCCCAGAACTGCTGAATGAATACTCTCGGAAAGTGGACTTCCTAAAGGGACTTTTAGAAGCTGAAAAGTTGGTAAGATCTATCAGTTCAGCTTGAAAAGACTTAAAGAGTTTTCTGCTTATATTCGCCTTATTGACTGGTTCCTATGTTTGCCTTTATCTGATGTCTCAAAATAACACTTGTTAAATCTTACCAGGCAGTCCTTGTAAAAGCATGGATAAATACATTGGATTTCCACATTTTGTTGAAAGGGGGTATTTTGTGAGATCTGAAACTTGTTTCCTCCTTTTTAAACGCAAAGTACATCTTATCTACATCCTTCTCATTTCTTTGATATGAGATACAGGGGCGGGTACTGTCCTTTAGGCCTAAGGTCTCTTGGGTGGTACCGTGTGTGTCTGGAGAGCTATGAAATGCCAGTAAGCTGTACCACAATTAGCACAGCTGCAATCAGTGTCATTGCTCAGACTGATTTCACTGTTTGGTGGGAAGCAGCTGTGGCAGTGCTCCCTGCCTCCTTCCTGGTCACACACCCCTCAGGTGGCCTCTCACTGCAGAATGGGACATTCATGACTTTTTATTACTTCTTCCCACTCACAGTCTTCATCAACTGAAAAGGCTCTGGCAAATCAGTTCTTGGCCCCTGGACGTACCCCTACAACAACCAAAGAGAGAACCCCAGCTACTAAAACAGTTCATCTGCAGACAAAGGCTCGTTGCACAGGCAAGATGAGGAGTGAGCTGCTTGGTACAGTATGTTTTGGTGCTGATGCTTCTTTACTGCTACTTTATGGATTGTCTCTTGTTGCATTCAGCTGCCTTATGCAGCTGTGCCTCAGATGTGTCCCAAGCTGGGTGGGAGTCATCTTTGTCTAGTTTGGATAGTCTAAATACTGGGCACAGGCACTCTGCTAGGCCTGGAGAACTGTCTTTTGTCACTGGCCCTTTGTAATCTTCTGTTCTGTTTCTCTTTCCACCTCCCAGGACCCCTTGGCTATCGATGGTAAGTTTAATCTGTTGTTTTCTCGAACTTTAGTTAACCTGAGCCTTGCAGGGAGAGAAAGAGGAAGGTCAGGTATTTAAGATTGGCTAAAATACACTTTTAATTTAATGGCTCACTTCTTTTCAAGATGGCAGACTTTAGAAACAAACAAAACCAAAAACCCTAACAGATGAAAGCCTAAGTGTTGTTAGCAGTATGGTAGCAGGGACTTGCAGGAACCTCTTTTTCTAGAATTCATATGGAAACAGACATTCTAATTATAGAATTAACAGGAACAATTTACCTTTATTGTTGCTCCTGTTCTGTTCTGAGCAAATAATGTGATTTGAGGTGCTTAGAGTAGGCGTTGTTCAGTTCCTCTTAAATATACAGCCATGTTAGTCATGTAGGGAACTGGTAGGAATTAATTTGTGGTTTCCATAGCTACTGTTGCAGTGGCTGGAGCTAGGCCAATCTAACGTGTCCTGAAAGAGAACACCAAGACACATGGGCTTAAACTATGCCCTCAGGCATATGATTCATCTGTTTTTTTTTCTTTCAACCATACTTTGAATGTTGAGTGTTGTGTTTTCCCTGTGGAAAGCAGGTAGGCATTTGAAATTCATAGTGCTTGGGTAGAGGGCCAAGTAGCATTTGGACATCTGAAAAATGGTTGCGTGAGACTTTATAACATGCTAAAAGACAAATTTAACTCTTTTTCCAGATTCTGAGGAGTTAAACATAAGGAAGCGGAGGTAAGTAAAATTTCTCATTCAGATGAATTGGGAACAGTTGGGAACTGCTTTCCTTTTAATGACTTTTAAATCACAGATTTGGGTCAAGTGCCTGCTGGTCAAAACCAAAATGTAATGACTTCAGCTGACCGAACTGTTCTTATTGTCTTGTCAGAGCTGCAGAATATTGGGAAACCTTCACAGATTGACCCACCAGGAAGTACAAATCCCAATTTTTTTTCCCTTATGCTCTTGCAGAGGCCTTACATCTGATGAGAAGCAGTCAGCAGTTGAGCTGGATGCTGTGTTACAGCACCATCAGGATATGCAGGAGAAGTTAGCTGAAGAAATGCTAAGTTTGGCTCGCAGTCTCAAAAACAACACTCTGGCTGCGCAGAATGTGATAAAACAAGATAACCAGGTAGCGCATGTTAAAGTGCTAACCCGTTGATTTTGCAACCCAGAGGGTCAAAGTGCTCATATGTTAAATACTGTGCCTATAGCTTGATTCCAGCTCAGATTAGAGTGGGGAGAACTTGTCTGCTTCTGTAGTGCAGTTGAACCTTTTCTCTGTTGGAGGAAATAGCAGTCAGAAGCTTCACATCTGAGTTTGAACCCGTTTGTTCTCTCTGTTCCCAGACGCTCTCGCATTCTCTCAGGATGGCAGACCAGAACTTTGAGAAGCTCAAGGATGAATCCGACCGTCTCGAACAGCATGCAAAGAAATCCGTCAACTGGCTATTATGGATAATGTTAATTGTAGTTTGTTTTATATTCATCAGCATGATTCTCTTTATCAGGATTTTCCCCAAACTGAAATGATTTTTTAAAAAATTTTATTTAAAACTGCCAGAAGTGCAGTTGGAAAGCTCAGCTGGTATGGTAACTGTCAGCAATCCATTTCTTTGCCAACTTTCATGTCCTTAAAGAGGCTGTCCAAGGCCTACCCTTGCATCTCTTTCTTGTGCGGTCACTGGATTCAGTGAAGGGTTTCACAGGGAAGGCTTTCTATGCTTGGTTGCTTTTTTTACCTAGTGAACATTGTTGCCTATTGAGGGAAGAACTGGGATAAAGATGGCAATTTAGGCTGAGCTGCTAACAAGTTCTTTAGTGGACAGATACAGCCCGCTGTGGCAAATGTTATGACTCCTAAAAGGTGTTTACTCAACAGGAATATAACAGTTGAAGTCTTACAATTTTTCCTGCCTTTGTAGCTTTACTGTACTGAACAAGGACCTTGCTGCCAACAGGATATTTAATGACAAAGTTTTCCCCATACAAAGCTGTAGGGTGTAGGAGGAGAACGCTGCCAGTGAGTTGCTTGCCTGGCTCAGATTCAGAGTACCAACAGGTAAAACTATTCTCAGACTCAACTTTTTCCCAGATGGGTATTTGGGACTCTGGACTTTGCAGTCGTCTTCAGTTTATAGAGTTTCTATAGAAGGGCTGAAGTTGTTTGCTGTTGCAATATTTGCTTCCCTTTTTGTATGTGCAAATGTTCTCACTTAACTCATTGTCTGTTATGTTGGTGCTGTGGCATCAAGAAAACACTGTGACCCTGGCATGGCAGAACAGTACACACAGTACTCTGCATGGTATAGACCTCACCTGTACAAACATTTTTTTGCTATGAGGGCAAAGGGAGATGGTGTCTTCAAGACAGAAATAATACAATAAAAAAAATTCAGCCTTTACCTTTTGAGAGAAGTTATCCTGGTCAAGAGCGTGTCAAAATTGTATTCTTAAGAGGTCACTTAATACAGCAGAGGTGAAAAACTAGAATTATTTTAAAAGCACTGCTACTGCTAGAAAGAATTAGAGCCTGCAGTAAAGCAAGGTTTGTTGTGACAGTGGTAAGAGCCGGTTTTAAGTGCTTGTGATAAGCTAAAAGCAAATCATTCCACATCTGTGCTGTTGTTTCTGGAGTCTTACTATGGAAAAGGGTTGTTCAGGTGTGTGCAGTTTCACATTGAGGACGGGAGGAGCAGCAGATGACTCCCAAGTGTTGTTTTGCCATTTCTATTCCTGTTCTGAAACACTAGATGGGGTGTTTCAGGCCGGTCTGTCGGTTGATCTCTGCAGCAGCCCTGGGGGAGAGGAAGGTGGCGGGGGGGGAAGAACTGTTTGTCACAATTGAGCTCTTATGAATATCCGACTGCTTCTTTGAACGCATCCCAAAGTAGCAGGCTCTGTTTCAGAATTGTTCTTTGTTCTTTACAAAAATAGCTGTGTTAATGAGGACAGTTCGCATTTTTTACATAAGGTATCTTTGTTTGTTTGACAGGATGTTTGCAATTTAGTATGCCATTCACTTATGGATTATCAAATGAGTGGTTATACCATAAGTACAGCTTTTTCTTCTCATCTCTGTGATAATGCTTATTCTGTTTGTGCAAACTTGTTACTGACCTTAAACTTTAGAGAAATGTGTAGTTGTAGTAATCCATTTATGGACGTTCCTACTTTTCCCAGAACTTTTTCTTCAGCTGTAATGTTTGACATTTTACTGTGCTTCATTAGTGAATGCTGCATCACCAAATTATTTTTTAATTCTAATTGTTTACTACTTTCCCTGCAGGCATTTCAGTGCTGATCTCTTCTCTTAGAGCAGAGATTGAATGTAGTGCTGGAATGTTTTTTTTGTGTGTCTGATACTGGAATGATACAACATTAATGTTTCATCCTTTATAACATTTTCTCCTTTATTACTTGAAATAAATATTTTTTTTCTAGCTTGCAAAAGACTTGGTGCATCGCTGCAGACAAGTTTAAAACTGAATTTTGCTATCAGCCATGTGTTGGCTATAACTTTTAGGCACTTAGAAGTTTAACTGGAAAAACCTCAGAGGGAACTATTGATAGCTTGCCTCCAAGAACATATCTACTCCTCCAAGTCAACAGCAATTCCTTTACAAAAGAGCCTGCTAGGAAATCAGTTCAGAAACACGTGCTATTTAACTTTTGACCGTTGACATTTCATGGGTGTTTGTTATTTTGAAGGATGAACTGCCAGAACAGAGATTGAGTCCTTTAAGTCCCAACACCTTTCGTGCTATCTCTCCTGACCGTTGAGCGCTGTGCCTCCAGCACTGCACTGAGCTGCTGGTTGCCTCTGACCCGGTGGAAGAATGTTACCTTCTGCCCTGGCAAACCGAATGGATTAATTGCCTCAGTGGCCAGCAATCTCCCTGCACACAATGGCTGGTTTGTCAATTAGCAGTTGCAGTCTTAGCTTTTTCTTGCGTTCATTTAGTAAGTACAGTCATTCAAAAACACTTTGAAGATCGGTGCCAGTAGTATTTGGAATAAACGATCCCTCACACCCTTGTGGCATTTCATGGATGGGGTGACAGTTTTTATTTCTGACTGAGGTATGGGTGGTGGAGGTTGTATGATCTCCTACTTTGAGCCCTCAGCTCCATTTTGTAGCATGAGTCTCTGATGTGCTCTCTACAGAATAATGATATATAGAAATAGCTTTCTGTGAGAGTTGCAAACATTGTGAAGTGAGAATTGCTTAACTTTCCCAAAAGCTTGAGAAATCCGGATGGAGAGATGTTTATCAGGCAGAGGGCTGGGCCTTGGTTGGCTTCTTGGCAGCCTACCTACTTTCAGACAAGAAAGAAAAAAAAAATAATCTTGGAGACTTGGGTCATGTCAGGCCGGTGAATGCACCGTTTCTGAGCCTGGCAGCAAGAGTAGCTATGGGTCAGTCTTAAGCTTTTCTCCCAAATGTTCTTGGTGACAGAGACTCCTTATATCATAGGACTGAATGTTTCAGTGGCGTCCTTAGTCACACTTAGATTTGTGTTTCGGAAGGATTGTTTAGGATGAAGGAATGGCAGGTGCAGAACGTGGTGTATGATGGCTGGGTAATCTCAGTTTGGGTTGGGTGTATGTTCCCCAGGCTTTACTTTGCAAAGCCTCTGTGGATCAGACTTTTAGAGGCTGTGAGCAGCTTTCCAAAACTGGCAGCTATTCTGCGAAAAGGGGGTATCTTGTAAAAGGGTGAAAACGATGGAGCGGACAGACCAGGGTTCTGTTCCTGTGACTGTTCACCTTGTGATACCAGGCAAGTCACCAATGTTCTGTCTCTGCTGCAAACCTGACATGAAACCTCAGGATCAGTCATGATTAGTAGTTACAAGCATGAAAAATATTTTAACTCTGATGATATAGCAGATAGGAGCAGCAAATAATAATCAAATTTCTTGCTGTACAGCAGGGTGCTGATGCCATTCTGGAGTCGTGCAGCCCAGGGCAGGGCTGGCTGGTAGCTCTTGTCCTGCTCTGCCACATTGCTGAGGCTTGGTGTGCACTCACCGTGTGTTCCCACTGCACAAGAGTGACATTAAACCCGACTTAGCTAAATCAATACCACCTGTCACATGACACTGCTGTGACATTTCTGGCATGAGCACTACCTCCTAATAGGAGATGGAAGTGGGAAGCAGCAGCGTTTCGTGAATAATGGATCAGATATGCCTGATTTGTAGCATTTACGAGGAAAGGGCGTGTCTCCTAGCTACAGAACAAACTGGTTATCAAAACGGGAACGAGAAGTTCTGTGTCTCCAAAATGTAAAATGTGAGATAAAGCAGCACGGAGCTTACAGTTAGAGTTTGCTGCTCTCCCCTATGCTGCCCAGAGGGCTGTCCCTCCAAATTTGACTCCAGATCAGCAAAACCACGCATTAGTGTAGAAATATAAAAAGGGGCAGAGAAGGGGGGAGTGGGGGGGTTAGGGGTGGTGAGGTGTCGATCAGAACTGGTGCAGCCAGTCGGTCGCCTGCAGCACGACGTGCCCGTGACGCTGCTGCGGCCGCACGTGGCTGCTGATAGAGAACAGCATGCCTGGCAGCGGAGGTTGTGCAAACCAGGCGTGGGGTTGGCTTAGGTGTACTGTGAGAAGCTGTAGGAAAAATCAGTGGATGAGGAGGCTGGAGGGAACTGAAGGCTAGGTATAGATCTGTTTCACAGCTGGGCCCTGCTTGCTAGACCCAGGGTGGGAACACTGACTGTTGTGTGGGTTTTGTAGCAATCGAGAAGAATCCAGGTTCTTTTGAGTTGAAAATTTTGATGTTGAATTAGAACAAAAACGTTCTGACAAGGAGTGGAAAGCAAGTCCAGTATTTCCTCTGCTTCCATGACATCCAAAACCCAAACTGAACAAAACCAGAAACTAGACAAAAAAAGATAAAACGCAACGCTGCAGTAGGCCAGGGAGAGCTGGGATTTCCTTTGCATCCTTCATCTCCATTTTCTTTGAACTGCATGTGGCAGAGATGCCCTCTGCCATTTTCACCTTGGGCAAAGGTTGCATTTGCTAATGTAACAATAGAATTCACCAGAAGGATCTGACAGTGTTTCCTGTTTCAGCAGTAAAAACACTGGGATTTCTGTCTTTAGCACGTAAAGTGGCCGGATCTTCATCCTCTGAGCTTTCTCCCATCGAGAAGAGAGCGGTCACTTATCGGATTTGGTGTGGACGGAAGGAAGGGTAAGAAAGGAACTTTGTCAATCTGTGACGTGAAATATTTTATATTAAGAGATTTGGCAAATGGTTCTGTGTGACTCCAAACAGGATGAGATAAATTTTCCAAGGTCAGCTCTCCTGTGCTCTCGGCTTTAGGTTTAGTCACCGAGAAGTCAATCCTGTAACCTTTACAGCAACATCCTGCCAGTGATGCAGAGACTTCGCTATTGTTGGCTTCAACAGCGAGTCTTGTGCATCTTCAAAGGACAGGAGGCTGAATAATGTGCGTACTGCCTGGTGGGAAACTTGTGACCAGGGAAGTATGTTTGACAAATCAATAAAAATAGAGTGACCTGAGCAATGGGGTAACTGTTCACACAGGCAGTTACAACCTGTTAAGAAAAGGCCGTATTGAATGGTGGATGAAGCAGAAAGTAAGAATTCTGAGTCTCAGCTCAGTCTTCTGGCTTGCTGTGTGGCTTTGGCTCGCTGAACTGGTTTTCAGCTCTTTTGTTTATAGAATTACTACCACTGTACTTTCTTGGTGAGTCAACTTCTAAAGCTGCTTTTGGATCCAAAGCTTTGTGTTCCTTCAGTGTTTCTGGACTGATTAATTACCATGGAACTTTACTTTTATATGGCTAAAAAAAAACAAAACCCAAACCCAACAAATCCACCTGCCCACATGTGTGTTTGGTTCCGGTGTATATTTTGTGAGAAATATACTTGATTTTCAAGACGTGAAGCTTTCAGCAGCATCTCCACATGGAGAGCCGTGTCCTCTCCACACGCAGTTGTGTCAACACGAGGCTGCGACTGTGCTCCATACGGCTGCAGGCCCTGGAGATCCGTATCCTTGGTGCCCAAACACCTCAGTCTGTGTCTTAGTTTGTTAACCTGAGCAGGGGGAAGGTAAATGACAATGATAACCACCTCTGGGGAGGTTCCTGCCAGGGATGGGCTTCCAGGGACTTCAGTTCCGAGTAGCATTGGTCTGGAGGAGCTGGGAGCTGATCAGGACGTTGGGACACTCAGGTTGGTTTCATGCAGAGGCCTTTGCAGGGCAGAGCACTATGATTCGTGTTTCCACTCTCAAAAAAAAAAAAAAAAAAAAAAAAAAAAAAAAATTTTTTTTTTTCCCGCCCCTCACCCTTTGTGGGCTACAGCAGATCAGTGTGTACAGAGTGCAAAAAAAATTAGTGTCAGGTTTGGGCTCCCTAATTTATTTTTTTTTTTTTGGTGACAATATATACCAAAGCACTTCTTCAGGACTCAAAGATGTGCCATATGTGCCATGGGAAAGGAACATAATCTGAAAGAGTGTTGGGCATGATAACAACATGCCCAAAGCCCTAGACTCTTTTAAGTTTCTGTATATTTACATTAATGAGCGAAGAATAAGGGCCTGCGTTTATTTCTTTTTTTTTTTTTTAAAACAGTGAATGCTGCTGTTTGGAGGGCACTGACCAACGTGCACCTTTTATAAGGAGACACTACACATACAGCTTTAAATTGCTATTTCTCTGGCTTTTTTTAGTCAGTCCTGTAATTCTTGGCAGCTGTGATGTGACTGTAAAACAAAGATGAATCCTTGGGGCAGCTCTTTCTTGGGTTTTCAAAAGGAATGAGGTTTTTATGGGGCCTGTAAATTTACTGCATTATCTTGTGCTGTACTGCTTCCATACTATATAGTATGTAGCACTTCTACTGTGTATTACCTCAGCTGAAATGCCAAAAATGACAAAAAATACAAAGTGTGTTTTCATGAAAACCACAGTGGGGGACCACCATTTGGGTTCCAGCTCTGAAAGTACAATAAAAATTTCATCATGCTGATTTCCTAAATAGTTTCAAAAGGAAAAGCTCCCTGTCTTGTAAATGCACTGAGAATTCTCTAGACACAAATAGTAACCTGGCTGATGCTTTTTGTACATTTTTCTATGAAGAATATCCTTCAGCAAGTGTATGCTGTTCAGGTATGTAACTATAGATAATTTTATGCATCAAAGAGAAAAAATGTTGGTTAGAAACAGCTAGAATATTATTTCAAAGTTCCATACCCATTTTCCTTGCCTCCCCTGGCAGTTGGTACTTATGAGATTTATTTAAGTCTGGAATGGACCAAAACAAAAAAAAAAGGTAAGTATCTGTGGGGTCAAACAGGTAGATACCTTCATTTCAACTCTATTTTCTCAGGATTCAGAAATGAACCCCAATAGTTTTTATCACAGTTCGCACTGCTTAGTTATCAGTTATTTTAACTAAACGATGAAACATCTGTAGAGGGGGGGAAAAGAAATGTGAATGTTGTCAAAGAAAGGAGTCATATTTAATATATCAATCTAGTGATTTTAGTATTCCTGAATCAGAAAGTAAAGTAGAGAAGAGTCTGCAGTGCAGCTATTGGAGGGGGAGAAAAAAAAAAAAAAAAAAAAAAAAAAAAAAAAAAAAGAGGAAGCAGGTGCTGTCTTCGTTTCTTAGCACCCACATTGCTGCTGTTGGTTTATCTGATGGCAAACCCAGTGTACTGTAGCATGATGACTATGTCGAAGTGAGTGTATGGGAAAGATGCTGGAAAGATTGCACCCTGATGTTCTTAATCAGTAATTAGAAACTAAAAATAGTATTTTAGGGAAAGATAATAAATCTGTAGCCTTTAATCCTCCTGTGCCAATCTGTAAACTGATACCATTATTACATGAAAGGCAATGAGAACATAAGTGAGTAAGCAAAAGTAGGTTGCTATTACAGTCACATTATAAATTCCACATAGCCCAAGCTGTTTAGATGATGTTTGGCTCTGTTTTATGCAAAGTTTATAGTCATAAAGCAGGTTAATTTGCAAGCAGAGAACACATAGTTTTGTTGTTTATTTCCGTTCCTTGACTGCCCTTAATTCCTGAAGTATTCTGAGATGACTGAGGTTCCGAGTCTCCTCTCCACTTGCGAGTTCTCAGCAGTTGTGTACATCTGAGAAAAGAGCAGCAAGAACAGAAACTTGGGGGAAATATGTTCTGGTGATGACACTTCTGCTGCACCAAGCTCAGTCTCCAGCTGCTGTGCTGTGCAGACACACATCTTCTCGTGCTATGATGACAGAGACAGCACCCCCCTGTAAGCAGGGCCTTTCATCTGAGCATTTAAATAGTTTGCAAAGGCTGAGGTGTAGGCTGAGTGTACCCCATCCACGTGGGAAACCTCTGAGGGAACCACACCAAAACGGGATTTCACCGAGGTCCTCCCCCCCCCTTCACAACAATGTACTGACGCTGTGACAACTGCAGCAATTCTTTAAATGGAAAAGTAACACAAAGCATTTAAAACAGTGCAAACTCTCCTATTGCAATTCAGGGTCTAGAAGAAGACCCTGCCTTGGTCTCCGAGTCGGTGCTCCTGGCCCCTTGAGCAAGAAATGTAAGACAAAAGTGAGATCTGTTGTAAGCTGAAAATAGGAAAGAAGAATGTCTATTGACCAAGTATTTTTGAATTAAAAAAAGCTTTATTCCAGCAGTTTATAACTCAGTATCTTGCAGAAATGGGTGAAAGCAAGCACCAGATAAAATTACGGGAAGTTGCCAGGAAACGTACTGTCATGGCTTAGCGCGGCTCCAGCGGAGAGATGATTACAAAAGGGGGGGGGGAAGGCACCAAATGCCCAATCCTACGGGAAAAAGACAAGCAGAAATTCGAAATGGCTACTTGGACTGGGCGCTCTGATAGTGAAAAGGGACTGGACTCTGTTTAGTGAGTCGCTGGATTCATCCTGGAGGAGGAGGAGGAGGAGGGAATAAGCCCCCGCTGGGCCTCAGCCCCCCCCACCTCCGGCAGCAGCTGTCCCACAACGCCCCGTCTCCCTTTTACTCGCTCAAACCTCCCGAGGCCAAAAAACCCTCCCCGGGGCACCGCTCCCTGCCCCTCGCTACCTTCAGCGGGTTCGCGGTCAGGCCGGAGC